ATCTTGAGTTGTCGAATTGAAGTTGGCACTCCGTCGAGATGACCGATGCTGTTGTTGGACGCGTCCAAGCTCACCAAACGACCACAAAACTCGTCCAGCATATGGAGGCTCGACAAACGCTTCTCGCTCATGTCAAGTTCCGTGAAATCCTCCCAGTATGGCTCAAATGGCTCAATCTCCGTCAGACGATCAACAAGCTCACGAACAGTCAAAGACAAAACCTTCTTAGAGCCGTCGCCAGTGACAAGACGCTGGTCCTCCACAATGTAGCTGACTTCAAAGCCGAATGACTTTTCGTGATGGTTCAAAGTAAACTCTGACATAGGGCTCAGGGACAAGTTGCCAACGTTATGGCTGATGATGGCGCTTGCGTCCGGGTAGAGGCCGCCCATTCTTGTCTTGCCGGGAGTCTTGATGATGAAGCTCAGACTCTTCTCTTGGTTCTTGGGAGAGACGTAGCTCAGAGCACTGTTCTCGCCCAGAATACTAACTTGACGCTCGTCAGCATTATCGCCGATGACACTGTCTTCTTCCCTTTCGTCGATTCGGGAGACGGGCCTAGGGACAAATGACTGGCCACGGAGCGAAAATTGTCGTGATGGGCCACGAGCCGGGGCTGTACGCGGGCGTGGTTGCAGCAGAGTCCGTCGTGCAGTCTTCGTCAAGCTTTGGTATTTGCCTCGTTTAGACTCCTCAATCATCGAGTCCGCATCCACGAAACTGCCCTCGTCATCCTCAAGGCTATCGATGTCCTCAGCGGCAACGTCCTGTATGATAGAGGCAATAGGCGAAGAAAATGATATCGTCATTCGTCTCCGGGACGGGGAGGAATCAACGATGCGATCCTCGTCCAGCTGGATCTCATGCTCAACGTCTCCGTCTCCTGCCTTGCTTTCAAGCTTGTGGAACTCGGTTCTTGCCTGCAGCGCGATATCGCGGGGCAGTGCCGCATCGGGCGACAGCGTCACAAAGCCTCTGCCCGACGAGCTCCGAGGAGTGTCCATGGAGCCCTTGGGTGATTGTGTCATGTTGGCTTCCCGCTCTTCAGCCTCCTTTTGTGCCGTCACCAACCTCAAGTGCAGCATCTCTTTCGTAATGTCGACGGACAAGTCAGGAATACTCGCAAAAGGGTCGTCTTCACTATCCTCGGACGGGATGACAATATGCGAACTTTTAGGTCGGATGCTCTCGCCCCTCCGTTTGATCCAAATGTTTTGCTGACGATCAAGATACATGCTCCCGACCTGATCCGGAATCAGATGCGACACACTCTGCGGCGCAATCGTTTTCCTTGACTCGGAGCCTCGAGAGGAGCCTGTGTGCATGGTCCGGTTGGTAGATGCCCCTGACGAGTGAGTACCGAAATCGTCATACTCGTTAGAGCCATCTCGCTGTCTGTTCGGGTTCGCGGAGATACGAATGTTGGGGGGGTCGCTGATGGTTTCGTCTCCTCCAAGATATTGGAGGTCATCGACATTGTTTCTCGAGCGGCTGTTCTCTTCGATCTGTCGCTCAACCTCCTGCGCAGCTCGGATGGCATCTTGAGCTTGATCCATAGATCTAAGCGAAGATGTGATGACGTCTCCCATGTCGCTCAGCTCCTGGTACTTCTTGAGGTAGTCAAGAATCTCTGGGTTCTCCTGGCGTTGCGGTGCTCTTTGCACTGGCTTTCCTTCGCGACTCGGAGGTCGAGACAGTGGTTCCCTGGTCGACTCGTACGAGTCGTCAAAAGCAGGACTAGGCTCGCCGTATTCCGCATCGGATTCCTCTACGCTAGTCAGGCCGCTAGGGGCCTTCACGCCATTTCGGATCATGGCCATGATCTTGCCAGCCTCATCCAAGAAGTCCTGAGTTCTGATAGAAGGCTTACGGTCTGTGTCGAGTGTCGCACTGCGATCATTGCCACTGGATGTGAATTGGGACCCACGGTGAGGGGTGCGTCGTAAGGGCCGCTCTTCCTCTTCGTCTTCGTCTTCGGCATAGTCCTCGAGCAAGTTATCCTGGAAGGGGAACTCGCCAGCTTGCAAAGAAGACCTCGAGCTGGGGGTCGGAGTTCGTGGGCGTAGGATATGGCGGGTGGCCAGCACGCTGGGGTGTGCTCTTTGTTGCAAACTTCCTGGGCGAGCGTCTTTGCGCTTCTTGCCCATCATGCTCTGCATCAAAGCATGGGTTTCCTGGACGGTGTCCAGAAGTGCATACCGCTCTTCCCTCCCATACGCAATGTCTGACTTGTGCAGCGTCCTCCTCCGCTTCGGTGTCGGGTCCTTCGATGGAGAGGTACGTGGTCGCTTCCCTTCTGATGCATCGCGTCTTTGCGGGGTACCTAGCATGAATGCCTCAGCCCCCGCGAACTGGACGTTGCCTCTTTGAACGCTTCCTTCGCTGGCTGATGGTGTGTGCTTGGAAGATGAGGCAGTCGTAGTGCCAGACTTTGCTCGCTTCCTGGGAACAAACATCGAGGCCTCATCTGGCACCGGCGACCCCGCGACATGCTCGAATCGAAGGACAGACTCTTCATCTTCCGGTTCATGTTCGGAACCCTCGTCGTCCTCGAAAAATTGGGATTCCTCCTCAAGCCGGATAGACAAGTCTTGGTTGAATTGGTAACCTTCGAGGTCACCCGCACCAAACTGACTCACAGATCGGGAGCTCGTGGCTGTTTCTTGTTTTGGCACGGATAGGTAGTCGCCAGGAGCAGTGTGCGGTCTTCGGTTCCTAGCAGCTGGGGCAAATTCACCGCTGAAAGATTGCCGCGATGATCCAGATGTTTGATCCTCGAATTGACTGATGCGACGGAGCAGCGTCTGGTTTGTGAATGTATCGTACGGGCCAAACAACTTCAAAGGACTCGTGCTATTCGTTCCCGACGTGCCAGGTTTCTCCGGACTCGGATTTGGCACGCGCGGAGGTGGTGGGCTCTGGGACCCGAACCGAATCGAAGTGTAGCCGGGGGAGTACGTTCTTACACTTGGGAACTGCTTGGGTGTGCTAGCCTGGAGAGACTCTTCAGGGAGCATCTCAGATGTGTCAACGCCCATGCCAGGACTGAGACCTCTGTACCTGAAGGATCCATCACCAGACCGGCCACCGCGCCGAGTGTTGAGGAAGCCTCCCTTTCGCGCATAGTCCTCGGTCGTCTCTGCTCTGTCGCTGTCCACTTCTTCTATACTGCCGTCCATATCGAAGTTGAGCTCCCCCTGTGAGTCCAAAAGCATCTGATCTATGCGCAGTTTCTCTAGGCGATTCTGAAGCTGGTCGACGGGGAGTTCGGTGGGGGCGGAAGTCTGTTTTGCTTCATCCTGCTTCTGGCGCATCAGCGTGAGGACGATCGGACTGAAATCCTCGTTTCGGATGACACTCTGTCCGCTGGTCTTCCGAGAAGCGTCATTTGGTGGTGCAAGCCCTGAAACAGAAGCTGCCAGACTGGATTCCTGAGCAAAAGTATTGTCTTGCTGCGGGCTTAGTTGACTTTGATGGCTTTGATCAGGGGAGTCGTCGTTCATCTTGTAGGTAATGTGCGGCGCGCGTGGTCTAGGGCTCGGGCTCGGGCTTGGGTCCATGTGGCTCCTGCCATCTGATTCTTCCTCGTCATCTTGGTGATCCTCGTGCTGGCGGTGGAAAAAGGGCGGGCTAGAGGGCATTGTTGTGTTTTGTCGCACGCTTTGATCGGCGATGGAATTATCCTGGGGGGGAGAAGGCGGCTTGAACATGTTTTCGAGACCTGTGGCTGCGGAACAGAAGAGATCTCGCTGTTCTCCGTATGCGACGTCGCCGTATACTAGCCTGCGCTTCCATTCCGGAGTGTCGCCGGCTCCTCGCAGCGGAGACGACCTGATGGATTTATGATGTACAGTATTATGTATGACAGAGCCATTTGTTGAGGCTGAGAATGCGCGACTTGTTTGACGTGATTGGTCGTTGGGCTTGATCTCGCGGGAAAGCTTCGAGGGGCCCCTTTGGGATAGTGGAAGATTAATGTCATTGGTGCTTCGTTCGCTCAGCACACCGGTGCTCTTGTCGCTGTTTCCAGCACTCGAAGGTCGTATCCTACTGACGGGGAGAGGTATGCGACTACCGGATCCTTTCCCGCTTGGTGTGTTGCTGCTATCTATCGGCTTCAGAGGCGGCAACTGAGCTGGAGAAGTCTCAGATCCAGCTTGCGAGGGCCAATCCTCGGAGAGGGAGTCGAGCCAAGCATGAGCCATGGTGGGTTGGCGTATGCGATCGGGGTTGAGGGACTTCTGAGACTATAAGCAGTCCATCGAGGGGGGTGGCAGATCGTCGTCGTGAGTTGATGTCGCGGTTTGCGGGGTGCTAAGTTTGGTGGCTTGGATGCGATTGAAGTCTGTTTACGCGGGCAATTGCAATGCAGAAGTCGCGCGGGAGAAAATGCAAATGAATAAAATGCAGAATGGTAAGCCGAAGAAAATGGCGAAAAGACTGCTGGCGAAATCGCCTCTGCTGCGTCCGCTACCTGCGGTGACGTTTGGTCGTGATGTGGGAAAAAAGAGGTGTTGGTATTGTTTCGTGGGGAACGCGGTCGAGCGATCGCGTTTGGGGCCGGCGTTATGTCAATCTCAAAAGCCCACCCTCAGTGTTGAATTTCCCCGAATAAACATAACTAATTCAATGTTATGCTTGATTGGCAGGCCGCGGGTTGCTGTGTCAACCGCCACAGACCAATTTTTGGATGGAACCAGGCCGGGCCATGGCCGTGACCCAAAATTCCCCGATCGTCCGATGGCGCTAATCGTTATATCGAATCGTGGGGGCTACCTCTTTTTGTTGCATTTACCTGTTATTCGACATGGAGTAGGATCCTTGCTGACCATCTGCGCCACAGCAGGTGCTCCAGCCACTGCAACCGTGAGATCCAAATCAATTAAACACGATATCACGTGTGGACCCGCCCTAGACGCGATCGTGCGTGCTGGGTCGCGTCGTCTGGTGAACGTGCACGGTCACCGACCCGCCCAATATGGGACCTCTTTGTCTGTTCATGTTTGTGCAGTGCGCTGGGCCTGGGGACTTTCGCCTTTCAACGACCGACGACCGCAATCCGGACCACCGCCCGGCGCCAATGCGACCGTAGCGCTTCCGACTTCTCCCCTCCCTCGTCCCCATTCCGTTCCTAAGGCTCATGACTTTTGACAACAAAGGTCTCTCCATACCAACACGATGGATATGAAGGATGGCTGGAGAGTCCGGCAACTGAACGACGAACCGATGTACTGCGAGGCTCCCCACGACGAATCGGATATCTTGTGCGCCAGTTCTGACCACGAAGACCTCGAGAGCCTCAAAGAGAGGAGACGTCGATATGAAGAGGCTGCGACTCGATTTTTGCAGGGACATACACCAAGGCTGCTATCTACAGTTCTAAGAGGCCCTTTCGAAGGACCAGACGCAAAAGGTTGGGTGAATCCATGGCAGTCAAGACGGAAACCAACGTTAGCTGCCACCCCACCACCACCACCTCCGGCTGCTGTCGTCAAAACAATCACGGAAGTCGAGGAAACCATTGTAGAAGAAGTGGATGTTGAGGATGCAGTGTCTTGCCATCTACCGAGCCCGCGAAGCCTGGATCAACCCAACTTAAGCCAGCACCCTTTCATGGAAACACACGAACTAGAACGAGTCAAAGCATGGCGAAATACCACGGAATCTGTTAGTGACACACAGGAGTTTGCTTGGTCACTAGAAGCCTCTTTTTCGCAGCCTCAATCACAGACACAGCGTAAGCGACGGTCAACAGGGTCAGAATGGCTTAAGCGGCAAGACACCAAACGACGAAAGGCAGATGATACAAATATTGCCTGGGAGGACTCGGCTGCTACCCAGCGGGATGGCGCACGACTGAGCCAAAACGTTATGCAGAAACAAGTGGACGCTACCATGGAGGCTGAGACTGCAAGCTTGGAGAGCTCTCAAATAAACCCACAAACCCCGCGCAAGGCCTTGAACTCAAGTGCCAGTCGCCCGCACCAGCAACAACTCTCACAAATATCCAATAAACACGCCAGTACTGCACAAGACGAGATACCAGCGCCGCTGAGCACTCCGATCCAGACTCCCCAGTCCAATAGGAAGGCAGTGGTGAATACTGGAAATGATGCTCCCCCCAGCAGTGTTGTCACTGTGGTCAAGGAAGAGGAACGGAGTGAATTCGAGACGCAACAGGACGAAAGTTTCTTATTCCGTGCAAGGCCAAGAAATCATGCCCTCAATCCCTTGAACTCAAGTCCCTTGAAGAGAATGTCCTTCGGCCAAGTTTCTTCCGCCGCTTCCACTTTTTCGAGCGAGAGCGACTCCCAAGGCGATGTCCAAGATTTGGAGGGTGATACTTGCATGGCAGACGACACCAAGGCTACCTCCCCAGGATCCAGCGAGGAAGATGGAGACCATCATTCCCCAGAGAAAGACGCAGCGCAAGGACGGGAGAGCGGCGACTTTATATCCGAGCCCCGGCGCAGTGACATAGCCCTCAATGCGATGGAAACCGACGTGTGCCCTACGAAAACGACGGATGGCGAAGTCTTAGAAATGGCTGAGAACCTTGTTGAGCATCTACCAGCTGAGACGGCCGCAACAGCAGGAATCGCGGATCTAGCATCGAGCCAAGAACCGACGATTGTTGCAATTGCTGCATCACAAGAACAAGCAGACAATTTGCCATTGAAGGAAGCCAGCCCAGTGCCGCAACCGCCGACGCCAGAAATCAGAGCCACTTCACCAAAGGAACCAGCAAGCCAAACCTCCAGCTCGTTCGCGGGCATACTACCAAACCTCTTCCCTCAGAGTCCCTGGTCGAAGCTGAGCCAATTTCTCATCCCGCGTACTCCTCGTCCGCCTAGCAACACTGATCAGAACCACCAAATGACTGGTGCCAACTCGTCCACTGTCGAGGGCTCCAGCGCTTCACAGACACCGGCAATACCATTGATTGCATCGGCTGTAGAAACAGTTGTATCTGTTGTATCTGTTGCTGGAACACCTGAACGAATAGTTGAGCGACCTTCAGCACGCACGACTGACAGATTAGTGGACGCAGCCAGTCTTCACAACAGCCCCGCCGTACCAGCTTCACAACAAAGTCCGTGGAATATGGACGTGCCAGTCATTGCTCCGCCTCAGCAACAACAACAGCCGAGGGACAGTGATGCAGCAAGTATCATCGACCCAAGCTGCCAAAGTCCTTGGACTGCGAGCCCGACCAAAATGCGTCAAGCTGCTCAAGAAGCTCTTATGTCAAAGTTCTTCAACGTTGCCGAACCAGCTTCGCCTTCACCGCTTGCCCCCACCGTCAATATGATTCCTGTAGGTCCGTCAGTCACTACTGAACAGCCCAACACTGCCGACACCTCAGAGCCAGTTTCGCCTGAGCCTATCTTCTCTATCAAGTCCTTTGCGAACTTTCTGTCCCCATCGCCCGAAAAGCCACGTCGGCGTCTCAATAAGGCTCGCCTTAGTGGCGGTCACCTGCCTAGTACGCAGAATCTGGTCGCCGCTACAACCAATAATCCATGGGAAAGCGTTAAAAAGTCAGCCAAGAGGGTCAGATGGGCTTTACTGCCCAACGAAGCCGAAGGCGAAGAATATGCAGAGGGCCAGGATCCTCACACGCCTACGATGCAAAGAGCTGCTTCGCCGCCGCCAGAGACCGCAGTAGCTGATTTGCCAACCGGTGAAGACGATCAGTATAAAAAGCACTTCCAAGCTGTTTCCCTTCGAAAAAAGCTCCATCACCATCTCTTACCTTCAGCATCTCAGCAAGTCTTGCAAAGTCCGGGCCCGATGGCCATGGCTGAGGCTTTTGTCTCGGCTGACTCGTTCCGAGCACCTCCAGCTTCGGTGGCCACCATGCATGTCGACGATGCCCCACTGGTACAAGACAATGCCGAAACGCAGGAGTCCGCCGTGGATGATGTTGACGACATCCTTCGTAACCTTAACGAGTTCATTGAAATGGTCGATGTTGAAGCTGATCTCGCGAGAGCCAAGGAAGAAGAGCAGAAGCAGATTGATAAACAACAACAGCAGCGAACAAGCCAGCCTGTAAGCAAAAGCTTCACAGGGGGCTTCACTTTCGACGGGATGATGGACGCAGGAGTTTGGGATTGAGAGAGTCTCTGATCAAAGGAGATGTTACGGACGATGCATCATATATGAATGTTTTCGGATGCAAGCAAGGAGTACCTGCGCAGGCGGCGTCATCATGCGAATTATTATATACTAGCGAGGTGTTTGGGGTCAATGACAAAATACCACATCATGGGCGGAGCAACTGCTTTGCTTTACTTACTCTACGACGAATAAGTAGTTGCTACTTAGTCCATTTACTATAGTTAGCTGTTCCGTCTTTAGCAAAGACCGAACCTTTGTCAAACATCATTTAGTCAGTAACTTGATCCTCGTGCAACTGCTGGTGTGAATGATCACTTGGCTGTTTGCAAGATAGGCCATGCGATTGAAGCTGGCTATATTTCACGATGTCTCTCGGAATGCCCGCAGACTTCCATCGGTACACGCACTAGACTCCCAATGCAGAGGGCCCTGTCTGAAATTTGTAGACGCGAAGTACTCTACCGCTACTAGTCCTCTATCTTCCCCCTTGAATCCAAACAACGGAGAGCCTGATCGCTTGCGAATGATAGTCCACGTGTCTGTACTGAGTACTGTAGTCTCGATGCTAGCAAATCAACACTGTCCAGGCAATCAGTCCTCCATTACCCAAGAGCTACCGCCGAAACGCTTTAGAAGGAGAGAGGGCGAACTCACTACATGATGACCGGGAAAAAGCACTCCAGCGTATACGCAACCCGATCCGCGTAACTCGTCACGGGATTACTCTGCGATATATTCAACGAGTGCGTGACGGTCCTCATGACCCCCGTCACAGCCAGCGTCGCGAGCCGGACCTCGGTGCTCCGCACCAGATACCGCACGAACCCGATCCGGAGACCCGCCTGCGCCGACGCCGCTCGCGTTTCCGCGAACGCGCCGAGGAGGAAGTAGGCGCTCACGCACTCGGTCATGGCGAGCGGGCAAAAGTAGCCAATGTGCAGGCCGTTGATGAGGCTCTGCAGGCCGCCGTCGGCTCGGAGGATGTGCTCAACGCGGAAGACGATGATGAGGACGCGAACGACGAGGATGGCGAAGAGTGCTAGCCAGAAGACTGTGGTGAATATTTTGCGGCGTGTGCCGCGTAGGATGTTGCGGAGGATGATGTAGCTGTAGAAGGGGAGGCCGGCTTCTTGGACCTGGTTGTTACTCGTGTAAGTCATTGGCATTTTAAGTATCTCAGCAACTTCAGTCAGGGTCTCTCTCGGCATCCCTTCTTACCATCCAGAAAAAGTCGCCAAAAGCCGCAACGACTGCTTTCCTTTCGAGAGGGTAGTACGTCTCGTCGTAGTAGGCATAATAGCACAGCCCGTTCGCGATAGCCCCGGCCGCCGAGGAGACGATGGGAACGATGGCAACCTTGGAGAAGGAGGTGATGCCAATGACGAGGAATCCAAGGAGTACGTTGAGCGCTCCGACGGTGCTCAGCGGCGACCAGCTCAGCTCGAAATAGGGCAGGTTGGACGGCGACTTCAAGGTGCTGTCAAACACGTTAAGTGTACCCGAGGAACCCATACCCGTTAGCAATGAACTCTGGCTGATCCAAGACGCCGGAATTCGACTGTCTCTCGGAGCCTCATGTGTAGTTGTTGCCAGTAGCTTTCAGGCAAATCCTATGGTTCGTCTGTGTTTGAGTTGACGTTGACGTCTGCTCCCAGAAAGGGGGGTTGGCATTTGGAGCGTATGGGCCATACATGAGTCTTCAGGTCTGTCGACGGCTGGAGAGATGCCTTTCTCAAGCTCGGCTATTGCTATCAACGGGCCGCCGGGCCGTTTTCTTCAGTCTCCTAGCCGCTGCCGTTTATCAGCTTCCAAACAGATCGCCGGGTCCGTGGAACAGCAGGCTTCTTCTACCTTTGGCATACAGACCTCAGAGAACTACGGAACAGTGGGGGCGGGGTGTTCCAGAGCGAGCAGTTTGAGGAGGATATCGGTCTCGGAAGGCCTACAACTAGCGGGTTTGACATGAACCTTCAAGAGGCTTTATCTCGGAGCCTCACTGTCGAGACGAAAAGAGATGAACCTAAATTTCGTACGGACGGGTGCGGTTGACGCCGCGTGCTACCGGCGGCACATCGCGTCGGCACCCTTCGCAGGGGATTCGGCCCAAAATAAGTTTGCTCACTTGAGACTGGAAGATCTAGCTCTTTTTCTTTGCCTGGTTTCGTGTCCGTACACGGCGCGGCTAAATTCTGGGAAGACTAAATGGCACGACCGCAGAGTTACTGCCCTAACTTTCGACACACTTGCCGTTTTGATGCCAGGTAGCTGCGACCTTTAAACACGGTCTCCTTCAGTCCGATATGGTTTAAATCACTGGTGTTTTCGATCTTTGAGCAGACAGCTGTCAAATGTTCCTTCTGCGACGATACCTCGGGAAGGACCCAACGTGCGACGCAAGCAATGCCCATTTCCAACATCAATCCTAGAGCTCTGATCATACTTACGCGTTTATCTAAGGTTTCACCTGCAAGTCAAACCTTATTGTGTTCAAGAACACTTGTATTAGTAAAAGATGTATTTCCGCTCTGGAGCACTCTGTCGGCTCTTTATAAACTCAATATAGACGTCGATGCCCGTCAATCCAAAAGGGTGGCTGAATATTTATCAAGACGGAGTTCCCTTGCCCGGTCGAGAGAGCTACCATCGACTTATGGAAGACGTTTATCAAGACCGTAGTCTTGATTCGCCAAATCCATGAGACAGAAACCGAGGCATGCGCGAGCTTCAATAACAACTAATAGCCAAGGAATCAAACCCTCGGTCTATTACTCACCCACAACCCCGTCTCCAAATATGTCTTGGACCCAGGTCGCAGTCTGTTCGAAAAGCCCAACCCAGTGATTGAAGTTATCCACTCCCCGCTAAAGACAATACACCAACAACCACTTTCATCTAACAAAGATTGAGTAAAGCTCAACCAATCGACAACATCAAGTCATATCTTGAGGTCAGACTCCTTTCTCTCTCCTAGGTTCAGAATGGATGGTAAAGCCCCAAGCATACTCAACTTCCCTGATGGCTCACAATCTGACAACCCCTAATTCAGGTACAGTTTCGCCGAGCATTCTATGCTGCTATGCTGATCTCGCCGTCGAGAAGCCATATGCTTCTTACCAACTCAGTGCCACCTCCCAGGCGTTCGCTACCTTGAACACGAAGTCCAACACGGACAAGGTTGTCTCAATCTCAACTCAACCCTCTGAAAGAACTCTATCGGCGACAGTCTTCAAAGCCCATAGTATGTTGGGCGAGCTACACACCCATCATAGCACCCGCCATCGAGTCCTGGCTATCGCGCGTCTCTTTCAGTGACATTTCATACTCAACGACGATTTGAAAGCCTGATATGTGCTTGTGAACCTCTTGCAAGACGCCGTGTCAAAGGCATAGCAACTCACGCAAGATGTTACACCACCAATCTCTAACTGTTGTCATCATGCCTACAGTTTCGAGATCCAACTCAATTTGCTCCTCATATAGGTGAGATATTTAGTGCTTAACGACAGCGAGTTTGTCTGTGGTTGGAGAGAATCTTAACATATAGGGAATCCGAACAACACATACCCCTTTGACTGGAGATCGCAAGCTGCTGGGGCTTCACGATCATCACTGAGCGGGGACGAACCTCGAGTGAGGTATTCAGCCGGCGTATCTAATCAAACGTAAGCATGCGTCGAAGCAAAAAAAGTCTCAGTGATCCCATTACCAGCCTACTCATCTGCCTGCCTGATAACGATTATTCACAATTGAAGAGGAAGGCTCTACTTTCACAATTCAACTTCGAAAGAGCGTAATGCTGCCAGAATATCACGATTATAATGCCCTTTGGATGATACTTGAAGACGGAAAACCCGGCTCACATCTCTCTTTCACTAGAGACTAAACCCAACTTTGCGTCAAAGATATCAAAGGTCTGGGGACGGTTTACGATCTTGTATCTCAGACTACTGGTCAATCTCTGAATAATCTACATGATCAAAGTCGCGTCTTGCTACCATCAGTCGTAGCCTATGTTCAATGCTCTACCGACAATCCCTTTCTTGCCACCTGATCGAGAGTCTCTACCAATGTGATTGAGGTGTGAGTAAGATGAAAGCAAGAGCGGGAGACCGAGATAAAGAGCGCGTTCCCGAGGAAATGACTTTCTCGAAACCGAGAAACAACTTGGATTTCGTAAGAAAAGAGTGAACGCCGCAGCTTCTACCTCAGTCTCTCGACACGCCCCTGTTATGCTCTGCTATCTCCTTCAAGACACTTGATATCCGCTTACCAAATCTGCCATCATATGACACAGGGACATCGGAGGCAGTACCTTTCCGGCAGCAATTAACAAAAGAACGAGCTCATTCCTATGCCCAATCATCCCCCCCCTCCCCAACACAATGACCTTCAATCCACGACCCACGTGTTCTAGAACACACAATCACCACAAGCAAGATTCTATCTAAACGTGTAGCTCAGGTAGCCATCCGACTGGATAGATCCCGATTTCCATCAAAAGGGCCCTACGTGAAAGACATATACCAGAAAGCTACTCTCCACTGAGAGACAGCTTGTCAGTGAGACAACATGACTAATTACCCCCTATCACAAGTCTCCTCCCCTCGGTGTCTCTTTCCGGGCTCTTATCCCCTGGGTCCGAAAGACTTAGCCGTGACCATCTAGCGGCAGTAGCTAAAGCCTCCCACGGGCTCACCGACTCACCGACTCACCGTCTCCAAGGTTCAAGGATCTCAACACTCGCGGTGAGCGAGTTTGCTGGGCTAGCTCATAAGGCCGAATCCGACCCAAGCAGGATGTGGGTTTCCGATTGACAGACCACATGGTTGCTCCCCGATATTTCTTTGGACAAGAAAATACAATCAAAAGGCAAAGAGTTTGAGGAAAGGCAGCTGTGAAGGTCAATGCCAGCCCCAGTGCGCTGGCCGCGCCCGGACTGTCCCAAAAAGAAACACCATCATCCCATGTCCGGACCAAGAGAGAGGACCGGGGGGCGCGTGTATACTACATACAGCACCTTCGGTTACCGGGCCCCATGTGGCCCGTATCATTGGAACATAAAGCTCTACGAGAGAGGGTCATCTGTACTTTCACCAGCGCAATGTTCGACTTTGAGTCTTTCCATACAATCTTATCCTACCTACACTTTTGGGACCTTACCCGGCGTATGAATAGTGTAAGAGATGAGCGATGCCCCTGAATTGGGTCTCAGAGGGATCGACAGGAACATTTTCAGGGCCACAGGCCCGGTGGCGAAGATGAAGCAGGCTGCGCCTCCCTGGCAATCCGGGGAAGGGGAC